AGCCATACTTTTCCACTGTTCCTACCACTTTGAAGCCATATTTTGTTCCCAAGACTGCATGTATGCAGATAGAAGGAGGGTATTATTAAATGAAACTAATTTTTAACATGTAGAATCTATGTTGGTTACATGATCTCATGATGTCTAGCAACATAGTTAGAACTTGAAACCTGAAATAAACAAGTCATTGAATTAGAAAAAAATCTTCTGTTAAAAGCATATAATTTCATGATAGGCATCTTGACACACAGCACAGTTGTCTTGTTTTGGATACATTGGTTATGAAGAATTCTTGAGATGGTTTTAATGCCAATTAGCTTGGAATATGAGTGCAATAGTGACTGTGGTTGCCCCACATGCTACTTAGTTGTTATATAAGGTGCTGTGCAGATTATCAACTTAAAACTCTTGAAACAAAATTTGTTCTTCAACTGAGCCTTCTCCTCACATCATGAGTGTCTACAACAACTACTATGGTGGCCTAGGCTCTGGCTACGGTGGCCTGGGATGTGGCTATGGATGTGCCTATGGTGGCTGTGTATATACCTGCTATCATCCGTGCTGCTATGGAAGATACTGGTCTTCTGGCTTCTTCTAAGAAATTCTAAATTGCTTGTCTATTCGAAACATGATCTTATAAGGCACAATATATACTTTCTGCATTATTTATAATAAGGAGGGATATTCAAACATTGACTACTGAATCTTAGGCTACCATACAACATTAGACCTTTTATGATTAAATTGCCTGAATCCAAAATTTAGAAAGTTATTCATGTAATCCATGTTAGTATTGTATGATTGAATATAAACAATTTTTGAGCAATTGCTTTGGTAAAATATATCTAACTTCATTTTTCATTAAAGGTACTCTGTTTTCACACCTTTTCATTTTCATGTGTATTCTTTAATCTAGCTTTCTTCAGATTGTATGTGAGTGTGTGAATATATGAGATTGTTGACACTTTCACTACTCTACAGTAGACAATTTTGGCGCATGGATGGTTATATTCAACCACTGCTTTTCTAATATATGTTTTCGTGAGCATATCCAAGGGCTTCTATTACGTACTTTGGTATCATCAAAGTCTTATCTTTGATCAAATAAAATTTCACTAAAGATATAGGCAAAGTGATAGCTCTATTTTCACCACTTCATGCTAATTCTTAAGAATTTCATTCTTTCTTGATACTATTTTAAGATATGTTCTGGGAGATGTAATTTTTCTCCTCAATTTTGTATTATTACTAGCCTTTTTCTCATTGACAACTATGTGCTTGAACTCATCTTATGCATTGTATCTGCAACAAAGGGCTTTATTTCATTTATTTCATTTTACCTTGTCATAGTAAAATATAGAATTTGAGGTCTGTTTCAGTGAAATTTTCAAGGGGTCAGCCTCTGCATGTCTTTTGGGAAGAGACCTGTTATTTTTTCATAACAAGGCAATGGCTTTGGTAGGCTGAAACCATTCAAACATAGGCCAGAGGCAGAATACAGGCTGAAAAGTGTATCCTTGATCTTGGTAAGTCTGGGTAATGTTCAGCAAACCTGTTATTGTAAATTTAGTTAATTTTTGCTATTTATTATATATAAATAATAATATCAACAAGGACAAAAATATAAATTAGTGAGTTATAAATATGTTTTTAGTAACTAATGTTAAAATTTGGAGTAACTTAAATGACACACTCGTAACTGTCTATTCACAAGTACTTTCTGAATAGGGGGTCAAAGTATGAGACTGCTAAAATCTTAAACTGTCCCAAATGCATATTTTTTAGAAGCATTTAGAGGGAAGAATTGTGTAGGTATGCCTTGCTTCATCAGTTGAAGACAGGTTACGCATGGAACTACACATGAATTTGTTTTATTTAAACTCACTGGCTCCTTTTGGCTTTACGAAAGGTTGATCTTGGGACTTCCCTGGCGGCTCAGACAGTGAAGGATCTGCCTGCAATGCAGGAGACTCGGGTTTAACTCTTGAGAGGGAAGACCTCTGGAGGAGGAAATGGCAGTCCACTGCAGTATTCTTGCCTGAAGTTCCATGGACAGAGGAGCCTGGTGGGCTACAGCCTGATGGACATGACTGAGTGACTAACACACACACACACACACACTCCACACACATGCTCTGTCTTGGAGAATATTATATATTATATATGGGTACTTGAAAGAAATCTAAGAGAAATCTGTGTTCTCTTGTAGTTGTGTATTCTTTTGATAGCTAGGTCTAGTTGGTTTATAATTTTCTTCAACCATTTATATTATAATCTTCTATATAGTTATTTTATTTAATATTCAAAATGGGATATTAGAGCAGCCATCTATTTTTATTGCAGTCTCCTTTCAGTCCTGTCCATTCTTGATTTATGAATTTTGGAGCTCTGTTGTTAGGTACATATGAATTTTAAATTGTTATATCTTCTTGAACGATTATGTTATTTATCATAAAAAGGGTCCATCTTTATCACTATTGAAATTCTTTGTTTTAAAGTCTAGTTAGTCTGATATTGATATATGTACTTCAGCTTTCTAATGGTAGCTGTTTGCACTATATATATGTACACATGTGCACATATATGTATGCATATGTATATATATGTGCATTTGTCTGTGCTTGTTTCAAGAGAATTTAATTATTGAAACATTTTTTTGATGGCTTCTCTAAAATCTGTGTCAGATAATTCGATTAACTTAGTGTTAGGGTCAGTTGACTATATTTTTCCATTGAAGTTGTCATTTTGTTGATTCTTGGTATGATGGTATAAGAGAAATTTTGTTTGCTAGAGCATCTTGGTTCTATTTAAATCTCTCTCTCTCCCTTTTTTTAAGTTGGCAGTCCTCTTGTTCAGGTTTAGCACACGGGTTCTGTGAGCTATGATTCATAAAGTTCAGAATTGCTGCAGTGTTATTTTGGTGTCTTTGGTTTATCTTGACCACTGGCTGACCCACTGGTTCCTGATGCTTGAAAGAGCAGAAGGAATTTCACTGGCTCAGGCTCTGTGTGTCTCTTGGTGGAGTAGTGGCATAGTGAGATTCCCACCTACCTCCCTCACTACCAAGATGACTCTTGGATGGGATAGGAGAGTCTTGGGTACCTAGGGCAAAGGCTTTTGGGATTCAGAAAAACTCCCTTCAAATAATATATTAATAAAAAATGAATCACATGGAAGATTGGAAAACATTTAAAATTGATTAATAAAGAAATGCAATTATTATTCAAAACAGCTTTCCACAAAATAAGCTCTAGGTTTAGATGACTTCAAAGGTAAATTTTGTTAAATATTTAAACATCATTTTTATTGTTAAGAAAAAGATAGTAATCTAGGAGCTTTCCTCAAATATATTCTCTGAAACAATGCCTAAAAAGGTATATACTGTATTCACAGGTATTTTATTAATTGTACCAGAACACAGAATTCATAACTATCTATCTATCTATCTATCTATCTAGGAGATGTAAGTAGAAACATATCAATAATGAAAAGCTTTAATACACCACTCTCAGAACAAGCATATCTAGTAGAAAAAAATCGGTGAAACAAGAGGGCACCTACAATTTAATTTATAAGGTAGATTTTGTGGATATATGTCCATCTATATACTTATAGTAGAGAAAAACCTCAAGTTTGCACAGAAAATATATAAAAATTGATTAAAAGGAAAATAATTTGTCCATTTTTAATATAGAGATGCTGCAGAAAACATTTTTAGACTGCTTTGCTATGAAGCTAGAGGTTGTTAACAAAAACAAGGGACAGAAAATCCTGTTCTAGTGAGTAAATCTTTGATTAAGCATCCCTCAGGTGAAAGAATAAATATAATCTGAGACCACAGAATTTCAAAATAAATAATGGTAGTGGGGATATTAATTAAGAAAATTGATGAAAAATATTCACGCACTAATTGGAGAAAAATTTACAACACTAACCACTTTTGTCAGTGAAAGATGAAAGAAATAACATAAATAATTAATATCTTGGTTAAAGGAGTCTTAAATAAAAATAAGTAAACCAAAGGAAGTGCAAAGAAGGAGGTAATAAACAGCTAAGCAGAAATTAATGAAATAGAAAACAGAAAAAAAAATCAATTGGCTTTTAATATGCCTCAAAATATTACTATTTGAAAAGATTGGCATTTATAAATCATTTGCTAATTTGATCAAAGGGGGAAAGAGTAAAAGAGAAAAAGAAAAAGCCTATACAAAATTAGAAATAATGAAAAATAAACACTTAAATAAGTTTAAAAAATGTTATGAATCTACTTTGCAGATCTTTGTGGATATAAATTTGAAACCCAGATGCAGTGAATAATTTCCTAGGGGAATATAGAGTACCAGAACTGATACATTTACACTGAGGAGTTATAGACTGATTTCCTTAGGAGAAATAGAGAAAATCATTATAGAAATACCCTACAAAATATTCTAGATCTAGATAATTATGCATGAAAATTCTACCAAATTTTCAGAGACAAAATGATTTGATGTCCTATAAATTATTCCAGAGCACTGCAAATGAGGGAAACTGCTTGATTCCCAATAGAAAGGATGCATAGCATTGATATCAGTGCTAGGTAAACAATTAAGATGCCACTATGATTTCTTCCTCTTGATGTCAATGGCCTAGTGTGATGCTCTCCTCTTGAGTATAGACAAGATATGTAAATTACTTCTAACTAATATTATACAGAAAAAGTGATGAAACATTTGATTGTTTATGTGATTATGTTACATAAAATTGTATGGGATTATAGTGCCCATCTTGGGCTTCCCTCATACCTCAGCTGGTAAAGAATCTGCCTGCACTGCAGGAGACCTGGGTTCAACTCCTGGGTCAGGAAGATCCCCTGGAGAAGGAAATGGCAACCCACTCCAGTATTCTTGCCTGGAAAACCCCATGGACAGAAAAGCCTGGCGGACTACAGTCCATGGGGGTCACAAAGAGTCAGACATGACTGAGAGACTTTCACTTTCACTTTCACNTAGTAGCCACACATGGTGTTGGTTGTTGAGGTTGTTCTCGGGTGGAGAAGGAGAGTAGAAGTGTCACTTGAGTGTGGAGAGTTCTCCCTGCAGAGGGCCTTTTATACGCCCTCAGTGTGGGTGTGATCCACCACACCTTCATGCCATTGGCTAACTTTATGACCACTCTAATTAGTTTGTTGTTCACAACCAAAGATGAAACCTCAGAGAAATTCAGCAGCTTTGTTGTGTTGACATCTGAGTTTGGATTCCTTTTATTTAATTGAGCATTTAAATTAGGGGAGACATAAACTCACACCTACACAGTCCTGTCCCAGATTACATGTTCATTTTAACTTCTTAGAATCATTCCTTATATCTTAAAAAGAAGATATGTTAGTTATTGGATCCCTAGGATCCAATTGGATCACTAAGGTTGTTATTTTGTAGCACTTTATACCAAAGAATTCCTTTGAATCTTAAATTTTGATCTAAATTGTTGCTTTTTTTCAGGAATCCAGTGTCTTTTCTAAGCAAAATCATAATGGATCTTTCACGTCCACAAAGTTGATTATTTTACTTATTAAAATGTCAGGGGAGTCAGTTCTGAAAAAAAAATGCCTTCTACTTTCTTATGTATCGATGAGTGTACATTTTATTTATGTTCAACTTCTAGTGAAGAACATAATAGAAGTAGTTCTCTGGAACCCAATTTCTACATTTTCCTTTCCCCCCCTAAGTAATTAGTTAATTTTTTAAGTGACTTTTCAACTTTCATGTTTGTGTTAATAATAAATTAGAGAAGTGTTTCTTTCTCAATCAGTCAAGTAGTTCAGTCAGTTCAGTCGCTCAGTCGTGTCCGACTCTTTGCAACTCCATGAATCGCAGCACGCCAGGCCTCCCTGTCCATCACCAACTCCAGGAGTTTACTCAAACTCATGTCCATTGAGTCCATGATGCCATCCAACCATCTCATCCTCCGTCATTCACTCCTCCTCCTGCCTTCAATCTTTCCCAGCATCAGGGTCTTTTCAAATGAGTCAATTCTTCGCATAAGGTGGCCAAAGTATTGAAGTTTCAGCCTCAATACATCAAATGAAAAGCTTTGTAACCTGCTATACTGAGCTCTCTTGCATAGCCCTTGAATTACAACTTGTCTTCATTCAAATGGCTGTGAAACTCATCCTGTTGAGTAGCCAAAGAAAAATGGTAGTAGGGTTATAGATAAAAAGTGTATTTCTGTGTCTTTAAGAAAATCCTTGTGGGAAAGCAGCTTTCTTTGTACATCACAAGAATTTCTGATATACAGTGATAATTATTCTTCAAAATATTATTTTTATAGGTAACTTCAGGTAACCACGGGCTTTCTTAGTGACTCAGATGGTAAAGAATATGCCTACAATGCAGGAGACCTGGGTTTGATCTCTGGGCCAGTAAGATGCCCTGGAGAAGGAAATACTGAGTCCAGTATTCTTGCCTGGGCAATCCCATGGACAGAGAAGCCTGTTGGGCCACAGTTTATGGGTTGCAATGAGTCAAATACCACTGAGTGACTATCTCTTCAGGTAACCTTAGATAGGAATTAGAGAGTAAAATGTGGGACTGGTTTACATTGCAGTGAAGATGGTTTAAGAATTCAGACATCCTCTGAACTTCAATCAACTCTCTCTGGGGATCATCACAACATGGACATAGATTTTGTTAAGTTACTTGATTCATCTAACATCATAACTATGCAAATGGTCAAAAGAACATAGCATCTTAATGAAACACAAAAGTATTTTCATGCTGGAGATCAGATCTTTAGAGCATTCAACTGTTCTTCCATCATGTGTTTTTGAGTCTATTTTCCATGTGTGTTTCTTGTTAGGTGTATTTTCGTAACATAAATATTTTATTGTGACATTTAATTCACTATCTACTGGATTGAGATATCGTAAGCAGAGGGCATCTTCAATTTCTCATATAGAAACTAGCAAAGGCTTCATCTTCCACAGTGCAAAATAAGTCAAACAATAACTTAATTTTTTAGTAAAAACTAGTTGAAATAACAGAACAATTAGTCTTCAAGGATATTTAAGTCCTTAGAACAGTGACTAATTTTGGTAAGCCATAATTATATCAGTTAATTTTTAAAAAAACACTACAAGTAACCTGTAGTTTTGTGTTTCTGATTTTAAAATATAGAATACATTTTTTTTACAACACAATATTCCTAATAACGTTTACTAGATTTTTTTCTCCTATTATTTATTTTCAGGAATTAATTTGCTTCTTCTTAATTGAGTTGCCCTCTCTGATCATATTGATGTGAGCTTTGCACAGCATCACTTTTTTCTCCCATTCTTTTCTAGTGTGTTGTTCTGGATATACTAAATTCTCAAATATATTCCAAAAAATAAAGCAAGTCTTATTTCATCCTTCATACCCTTCAAAGTAATCTCTATTCCCATATTCTGCTTATACATATGACTGTAAAATGTCATATGTATACTTTCATGGAGGCATTTTAGTATCTCTTTAGCACTTCAATCATAATTTTGGGTTTTTGGCCTCCACTGCTCTACTGAAATGCTCCTGCAGAGATAATCAAGACTTCCCTGGTGGTCCAGTGGTTAAGACTCAATGCTTCCACTGCAGGGGTTATGGGTTCCATCCCTGGTAGGGAAACTTAGATCCCATATGCCATGTGGCATGGCCAAATACAAAACAAGAAAACAAAAACTGCTGAGTCTTGTCAAATACAGAGGTCAAGCATTCATTTTCCCCAGCTTCTGAGTACATATAGATCCACCAACCTCTTTTTTTATCCCTAAAAACTCCAACCTTTAACTTCACCCTATGCACACAGCTTTGGTTCATTTCCCACCTCAGCAGCTGCGCCTCTCAGTATCCTCTCTAATCCTCTCAGATTTTGCCCTCAAATCTTAGAGTTCCCAGAGATGTGTTCAACCCACTCATAATCTCTAGTCTCTACCTAAACTCTGTTTAATTAGAGCACTATGGATGCATTCTTTTGTTCAATCAATTTCAATTCCATTTTCAGTCTTATTACTTCATATATAATTTTCATATATATTTCCAATGTTTTCCACATATCTTCAAACTAACACTGCTATTTTCATATATGAATAGTGATTAAAAATTTAAGACAAATTGCATTCATCATTCTGTACACTCCCCAGCCTAATTTCTTTTCCATCTCATAGCAAGCATGGCACAAATTAGATCTAATTCTCCTTTACCAAAATCCTGTAAGTGTTCCACATTGGGATTGCTAGAGTAGATACCAGACATGCAATTAGATTTCAATTTCAAAATATTGAATTTCAAATCTGAAATTCAGAAGATTGGATTTCCCAAAGATTGCAAGAGGGATACTTATACTAAAAATAATTTGTTTATGTGACATTCAGATTTAACTGATTTGCTTGCACTTTTATGTGCGATACCTGGATACATCTTGGGAAACATAGCTGACATAATCAACAAGTCAAAGCTATGACCACATCCATCAGTTCATCTGGTAATCCCTTTCCTCTCCATTAAAAATTCACATGTCTATGAGTGGCTTTTCAGTCCTTCAAATAGACCCACTTTGTTTCCACTTTAGGTTTTCCACCCTCCAGTCCTTGAAGCAACAGCCAGAATGACTTTGCATTCTCTCTTCTCCTGGAGAAGCTTTTTCTGACTACTCAGTTTGAAGACATCCCTTACAAATAAGTCTTTAAATTCCCCATAACTGACAATGGTTTAGTGTTTACATAAACCCATCACTATCAGAAATTAATTCATCCATTTCTTATATCTTTGTCTGTCTTAAATTTCCTGATTTGGATTAATCTAGATTATTAGCTCCATAAAAATATTGACTTTATCTGGTATGTTCACTGCTCCATCCTTAATTGTGTCCAGTATATGACTCGTTCTTAACAAAGTTTGATGCATGAAAGAAGTCATAAATGATCAAATCAATGAAATGGAAAGAGTACTTTTATATTCCTTTTGAACTTCATATATTGAAATAATTTTAGATTTATAAAAAGTTACTTAAACCTACAAAAAAATTTTTCATATATCCATTACACAATGTCCCCTAATATCTTTTATAACCATAGTGCAATTATCAAGCCAAATAAACTAATTTTGTACAAAATTCTTAACTATAGATTCTTACTTCATTATTTGTTTCATTACCTTTTTTTTTTTTTTTTAGGTTCCAGGATCCAATTCACATTGTCTTTGCTCCCTAATATTTTCAGTCTTTTCCAGTTAGTAAGAGGTACTCCATCTTTCCTTGAGTTTCATGTCCTTTGAAGTTTTAAAGAGTTGAATATTTAGTAGTTCAGTTCAGTTGCTCAGTAGTGTCCGACTCTGTGACTCCATGGACTACAGCCCAAGAGGCCTCCCTGTCCATCACCAACTCCCAAGTTTGCTCAAACTCATGCCATCAAGTTGGTGATGCCATCAAACCATCTTATCTTCTGTCATCCCCTTCTCCTCCTGCTTTCAATCTTTCCCAGCATCAGGGTCTTTTCCAATGAGTCAGTTCTTTGCATCAGGTGGCCAAAGTATTGGAGCTTCAGCTTCAGCATCAGTCCTTCCAATGACTATACAGGACTGATTTCCTTTAGGATGGATTGGTTTGATCTCCTTGCATTCCAAGAGACTCTCAAGAGTCTTCTCCAACAGCACAGTTCTAAAGCACCAATACTTCAGTGCTCAGCTTTCTTTATAGTTCAGCTCTCACATCCATACATGACAGGTGGAAAAACCATAGCTTTGACTAGATGGACCTTTGTTGGCAAAGTAATGTCTCTGCTTTTTAATATGCTATCTAGGTTGGCCATAGCTTTTCTTCCAAGGAGCAAGTGTCTTTTAATTTCATGGCTGCTGTCACCATCTGCAGTGATTTTGGAGCCTAAAAATAAAGTCTGTCACTGTTTCCATTGTTTTTCCATCTATTTTCATGAAGTGATGGGACTGGATGCCATGATCTTTGTTTTCTGAATGTTGAGTTTTCAGCCAACTTTTTCACTCTACTCTTTCACTTTCATCAAGAGGTTCTTTAGTTCTTCTTCAC